CCCCCCCCCCCCCCGCCCCCGAGAACGGAGCTGGAGACAGTATCCTGTGATCCCAAATAAAGAATGATCGATCGGTAGGAAAATGGGTTGGGGAATTTTCCTGCAGACTTTTTTTTTATTTTCCCAGGGTCCCTGGTCCATGGGATTTGAAATTATAAGTTTGGTGGTTCCTGAGGTCCAAAAGGTTATGACCCCTGTTCTAGTCTATTCCCTGCTTGAGCAGACTTTATACCATTTCAAACATGTTTTCCAGTCCAGCCTACATTTTCTACTTTTAATCACAGCCCATCCTTGTTAGCTTCTAAGCACAAAGTCATCCAGCTGTTGCCAAGGCTGAGATAAATATGATCTACTCATTAGGAAATGTTTACTCATGAGGACTAGTGGCTACTCAAGGTGTATCCAAGATGAGCAAACTTTAGCTAAATTGTAGAAGCTCCTTCCTGGATAATTACACTCAGCATCCACTTTTAACTTTGGGGTGGGGTCCAAGAGCATATTTTTTCTAATTTCATCTTTTTTTCCTTGCTTCCATTGTTAGATGTTGTTTTTAACAGGATTTTTTTCAATTTTAGGTTAATGCCTGCTTCTTTTTAAAACAAAACTATTAGCCATCTTGGGCGTTCTCCAGGACAGAACAGCAGGATATAAATTAAGGCGTTCAATAACTTTCAGAATAAAAAGACCACTACCAGAGATGTGACAGTGGTGTACTGCTCCATCAATTTTTACCTCCATGGCAGGTAAAATATTCCAGATTCATGTGAGCATGTAATGAAATCGTTTTGTGACATTTGCACCATGTTATAACGCATGCGATGTCACTATTTTCATTTATTTGTAGCCCACTTCTATTATTTTTACAAATAGCTCAAGGTGCTGAACATATCTAACACACCTTCCACTATGGCTTCTCATGGACTCCTGTGGCCAGATTTAATCTTTACAAGTGACCACTTACTTCAGATATGAGGCTCTCCTGCTGTTCCTGAATGCCATCCATTTCGGCTACATGACCACGATGCTCTTTGGAAGAGATGCATAAGCTATTTTTTGTTCTGACCAAGACTTCCTGAGACCGTAATTAAGCACAAAGTTTGTTAAAACAACTCATTTTATTTCAACGCTGGGAATTGTGTTCATTCCCATCCCGTAATGAGTCCCAAATAGTCCCTCGAGATAAGCACCCACCTTTCTCTCCTTTGAATTGCTGCCAACAACTAACGTGTCAAATGAAAACCAACCAAAGTACAAAGTCCGCAGAGCTTCAAGGTTTGATCCGAACAGAGCGAACGACTTTGCTTCCTGCAAAAGTTTCTCTACCTTTGCATATCCCTTATACCTTATGGGAGGGGCAATCACCTCCAAGCCTTACTCCCGAGTCACCCCTTTTGTTTCAGCTGCTCGTCTTCTAGCAGCTCTGTGCATACGCACACTGGGAACAGGATCCCCTTGTTCCTCGGCCTCATTGCTGCCAGACTCCGAAAGGTTCTGGAAGCACCACCCCACTCCCAGATGGTCCTGGGCCCATCTCTGCGTCCGATGCAGGACCCTCATCCGAGTCCTCTCCAGACGCCCGGACTGATCCAGAGGTAGGATTCATTTTTTTTTACTACCGGTTCTATGGGCATGGCTTGGTGGGCATGGCTTGGTGGGCATGGCAGGGGAAGGTTATTGCAAAATCCCCATTCCCTCCCCACCCCACTAACCTGCTTTCCAGTTCCGTTCTCCTGTGCAGGGCAACAAAAGAAGAATCAGCTGGGACTCAATGGGAGGCAGAGAATAGATGGGGCGGGGCCAGATGTAATACCAGTTATTACATCCTGTGTATGGAAAGTCTATCCTATAGTTGCAAGGCCAACCTACATAGCAGTTCTTAAGGATGGTCCCTCTGCTTCTGGATCAGTTGTGGGATTCAAAAATTTTTACTACTGGTTCTGTGAGCGTGGCATGACATGGCTTGGTGGGCGTGGCATGGCTTGGTGGGTATTGCAAGGGAAGGATACTACAAAATCCCCATTCCCTCCCCACCCACTAACCTGCTTTTCAGCTCCATTCTCCTGTGCAGGGCAACCAAAGAAGATGCAGCCAATCAGCTGGGACTTGGGAGGCGGAGAATTGATGGGGACGGGGCCAGTCAGAGGTGGGATTTGCCGGTTCTCCGAACTACTCAAAATTCCCACTACCGGTTCTCCAGAACTGGTCAGAGCCTGCTGAATACCACCTCTGGACTGATCCCCGTTCTTCCCCACTGTCTGATTCTGCTGCTGTCTGCACAGGCTGCTGGTGAACCACAACATTTTCAAAGGAAGGTTTTCTCAGAATAACTGTCCCAAAGATGCTTTTTTTTTTCCAGGTGGCAACTGGACTTCCTTGTTTTTTTTTCCTTTGAAGATGTTCCACTTCTCGTTTGTTATTGAGGGTATACTCATAAGTGAAAAAAAAAGAAAAGAAAAAAGGAAGCCCAGTTGTCTCCTGAAAAATAAAAAGAGCCACTGGGACAACCATGATCTTGATGACTGAGAATTTCTAGACTCAGAACGACTAATTTAATGTTTCCCTTGGCTCTATAATCTGCAAGGGACACACACGGATGAACAAGCCATGGTTTTATCATTGTTTATCAAATGAATTGGTAAAGCATAAACCATGGTTAATCAACAGCAATGGCTGGGCTCCCCAATTGTGTTGAGCCCAAACCAAGCATCAGAGATGTCTGCAGAAGAATAAAGGAATTTAAGATGGCAGCCAGAACATAACTGAAGTCACGTCCATTTTTATGTACATTGCACATGCTATGCATGTGTACCAGTAGTTCCCGACTTATGACCCCAATTGAGCCTGAAATTCCCTTGGCGAAGCAAGACAGTTAAGTCGGTGTTACCCCATTATACGACCTCTCTCGCCATGGGGGTTAAGAGAATCACTGCAGTCGTTAAATGAATCATTTAAGTCATTAAGCGAATCTGGCTTCCCCCATTGACTCTGCTTGTGGACATTCACCTGGGAAGAAGGTGATCTCCATACAAATGGAGATCACATGACCCCAGGGCAGTGCAATTGTTATACCTGCCAGTTGCCAGAATTTTGATCATGTGACCATGGGCTCTGAAGTGTGAACGCTGATCGTAATTCACTTTTCTTCAGTGCCGTTGTCACTTTGAACAGTCACTAAATCAGAGGTCTCCAAACTTGGCAACTCTAAGACTTGTGGACTTCAACTCCCAGAATTCTATGCTGGCTGGAGAATTCTTGGAGTTAAAGTCTACAAGTCTTAAAGTCGCCAAGTTTGGGGACTCCTGCACTAAATGAATGGATGCAAGTGAAGGACTACCTGGGATGGACTGGGATTTTAATCATGTTCTTATTTTTCCCACACACACACTCCCCCAGTCAGAGAAAACAAACTGCGGCCTGGGATTATATTCCATTCACCTTTGCTCTGCTTTTACTACTCTGAAAACAGACCTGTTCCACTTGACAAAGATCCATACCCAGCCTCTCTTATTACAAAGGTTTATTTCTTTTTATGTACAGTATTTTTTTTTAAAAAAACAACATTTTATATATAGCATAGAAAGGGGCAGCTCCTAGGCATCTGAACAACAATTTTAAAAAAAAATCTCTGGACAGGGCATGTTTATTTAACCGTATGCTTTGCAGGTTTGTGCATGCTCAATATCCATAGATTTCTCTTCCAAGCAATGGCACTTGAACAACCCATTTGAAGCTGGGCTGGGTTGCTTCTGAACATTGTCTACTATAGATCATCAGTGGTTACCCCCAAAGATTCTGCCCCTCCCTTTCTCATCCTGGGCTTGTCTGCCCACATCTCCCGGGTCTGCTGGCATGGAATTTGTCTACCTGTCCTATCAATGAATCAACCTTTTTTCAAAGGGCTTTTTAAAAAACTGTGTGTGTGTGTGTGTGGAATGTAAATTACTACATTTCCAGGATAGGAAGCTTAACATGATAGCTCCCCAGAAGTGCAGGAGCTTAGATAGTACTGATGTCTCAAGAACCACAAGGGACTCTACAAAGAACATCATGGTCCTTAAGCAAAGAGAATACGGTTAGTGGGATGGACTTTGCTTGCTTCACTGGAAGGACCCCACTACTGAATGGAAGCCCGTGGCAAGGAAAGGATACGGACCTCCAACTCATTTACTTGCTTCCTCATTGTCAGTGAACTCATCCTTCCCTCTGACAAACTACATCATTCCAGTTCCCAGAACCCTGCGTTGATTTAATCGTAAATCTCAAGGTTGAGAAAAGGTTGGAGAAACCCAAATAAGTTGCGTATATTCTAGTGGCGTTGCTCTTCAGCATCACGGGCAGCAGATGGCACCCTTGGGCAGCTGCCAACCTTCTCTTGGTCTAAAGGAGGGGTGTCCAACCTTGGCAACTTTAAAGACCTGTGAACTTCAACTCCCAGCATTGCTGGCTGGGGAATTCTGGGAGCTGAAGTCCACACAAGTCTTAAAAGTTGCCAATGTGTGCTGAGGTTGGACATCCCTCGTCTGAAAAGTCCCATGGTGGACCTCTCATCACAAACTGCTCGTCATTTGCTTAGCAATTTTTGTTTGTTTGTTGCTTCTTGTTATTTTGCTGAGGTGCTAAGGAATAGCTCCTGCTGCCTGTGTTCCCTCTGTTTTTTCTCCAACCCCTTTCCATCCCTAATAAGCCATACAGTGATGATCCGTTCAGAACCATGATTGAAATAAGCAGGGAAGATTATTTCTCAGTAAATCTGCATAGCTTTACTATCAGCCCAGTGCAATGTGATAGTTCGGTTGTTTCAGCAATTTCCAGTCTCTTGGCTGTATTTCAAATTACAGGGAGAGATGGAAATTAAACTCATTTTTTTCACCCCCTGGTTCTATGGCAGTCTTCACTGTAGCTGTTTTTAGACATCTACAACGCTTATCTTCTATGTTTCCACTGAAACACTTCTTAGGACAGTTTGGAGAACCAGTGGCTCTCCAGATGTTCCTGGACTCCAACTTTCAGTGGTCCCAACTAACAGGGATCAAGGGTGATGGAATTTTAATGCAACCCTACCTGGCAGGCCACCCTCCAATATTCTTTGATTAGTATTGAAATCACCGCTTCCCTCCCAAAATTATGGATAGGGTCCTATGAATGAGCTATGGCAGATTCCTCAACATCCCTGCCAGGGTTCAAGATTAGAGGATTCTTGTGCAGAGGGAGAAAAAAGATTGTGGGTGAATAGCTGGGATACGGATACCAGGGAAGGCAGCTGTTTCCTCCAAATTTGCTAGGGCTGTTAATTGCTGGCTAGGAATTTTGGACACTGCAGTCCCAGCACATCTGGCAAGGAACATTTGGAACGGCTTCCAGTTGACAAGCAAAAATCATTAATTTTCAAGGGATGGTGCACAAGCCCCCATCTGGTAAGGCGCGTCATCTTATTGTCAGAAGGCACCATGTGGCTATGGAACAGACACTTCACAGTTCCACAGTAATCAGCTCAGGCACTCTCTCCTTCTGTAAACAGCCTCCAGAGCCATTTTGGCACACACCTTTCCTTTACGTTGTCGTAGACAACCCTGTCTGCTTCCCTTACGCACCAGCGAATTAGGGCTGTGTCCTGACCCATCTCCTTTTTTGAAGTGCAGCCCCCAGGGTATCATTTCAGAGCCAAGCTGACCCTCTCGAGAAAAAGGCTGACATTGACGAATCAACCTAGTCTCATGGATTCTTCCCACATTCATTCTCCTATCGTAGTTGTTAACTCAAAAAGCTTTCAGACATGATATCCAGATAGTACCAAGTCACAAATTCGGAGCATGAGGGCCAATGAGGAAGGAAAAGAAAAATTGGGCCCGTTGTCCATATTATGGCCACGTCGCAGAATGGGGAGGAAAGAAATCCAGATCTTGCAGGACTTAAAACGTGCTTATCAAACCCAGATTTTTTTGGCCAATGGCATAAGGACAGTCGGGAGTTCCGCCGCAACTGGAACCCATCATATCTGATGCCATGAGACTACAACTCTCAGAATTCCCAGCCGGCGTAGCCCTTGCAAGCTGGTGAATTCTGAGAGATGCCGTCACAATCTATCTGGAGAACACTGGCTGCAGGATGGCTAGGTATCTTCATTGTGCAAATTTCTTCCTGCTGTGGCCCTGAAGACCTCCTGTCTTTATCCTTGTAGGCTGCATCAGGGTTAGGGAAAAGGTGCGTTCAAACATTTGGGGCTACAACCCCCCCAGTCCCTTGTTGTGGGCTGGAACCAATCGGGCCGAAGTATGAAGGCTCTTCAGAGAACCCCAGGGGAACTTTTTAAGGGCCAAAGGTTCTCCAGTTATCACAGAAGTAACTTAATTAAGAGAGGATGGACTATTAAAACAAACAAAACCTCTCCTCTGGCCATCTACACCCTCACTCCTCATCATCTCCATCTTTTAAAAAAAAAATCTCCAAAAACTGACCTGGCGTCTATTTGGGATGAGTCAGAATTTAAAACACAAAACCACAATGATAAAAAAAAAGCAAGGTCACTCCCCCACACACCCAAGGAATAAAATTAAAATGAAAAAGAAAGGAGTTCTAAGCCCAGTTCTACAAGGTGGGACCCTCGGTTCCTGGCCCTGGAGAGGGAAGAGATTTCTGCTGTGTGTCCCAGTGTCCCACCAGACTTGTGGGAGGTTCCCCCCGTGAGGGCAGGGGGAGCTCTCCATGGTCACCATCCATCGGTTACAGTTGGTTGTCTCCTGGCTGGTACTGAGGCTCTGTAGCAGTGAAGTAGTCTTCTAGAAATGATTGGAGGTATTCAAAAGTAGGGCGCTCCTCAGGCTCCTTCCTCCAGCACTGCACCATCAGATCGTGCAGCGATGGAGGGCAATTCCCAGGACAGGGCATGCGGTAACCCCGTTCCACTTGTTCCAACACCTCCCGGTTGTTCATGCCTGCACGAGAAGAACATGACACGGTCAAGACTTAACGGTGGGATGGCCCTATTGTGAGTCTCTAGGGATCCAGGGAGCGCTAGTTTGGGATGGTGGTTAAAGCAGCAGCCTAGAAACCAGGAGACCGCGAGCGCTACTTCCATCTTGGGTATGAAGCCAGCTTTGGGCTAATCATTCCCACTCAGCCCTGAGAGGTGAACAAGGGTAAATCAATTTTGAAATTGTCGCCAAGGCACAGAAACACATAAATTGGCATACAAAATTAAAATCAAGGACCTGTCATGCCCCTGTCAGAGTCTGAGACAAACAGTTGACAGGGAGCGGGAGTGTGGCTTCGTTGGCTGTGGAGGAAACCAGGGAAGGGCAAAGTCTGGTTGGGCAGAGCAGGGAAGAGGTAGAACAAGGGAGAGGTAGAACAAGGGAGAGGTAGAACAAGGGAGAGGGAGTTCAGTGGAAGACCCAGGCCCACCCCCTCTTCATCCTAGGGCACGCAGGGAGGAATGGAGAAGAGAGCAATATGGGTTGCATGGCTTACAGGGGAAGAAAGGGCCCTGATTCCCTTCATTAGCCAAACCCAGGGTTTAAAAGAAATGCATGCTGAATACAGCAGCTGTTGGGAGCAAACGTGAATTAATCTTGTGTTGACTTTGCTTATCTGTGTTCCCAGGGTCTTCCCAACCGTGTTGAGTTATTGCCGTGTCTTCATGTCTGGAATTCTTGCTTCTGGCCTGTTGGACTAATTACCTTATTTTGCCTTGATTAGACTTATAGTTACAGTTTTTGTTGACCACGTTTTGGAGTTGATTTTCTGCAGCCAAAGGCTGTTCCTGGGAGAGTTTTTCTCCAGCCAGAAGGTAATCAGGACATTGGGGGCAAAGTTGAAGCTAATAAAGGGACTCCTGCTGATTATCTGACTGTGTTGCCTTTGTGCCACACCCTGGGTCATAACAGGATCAGTGTGCACAAATTCACAGGCACTGCAAACAGATTAAATACCACAGGGACATAATCCTCCGCAAAATTTGGTAAGTCACATGATCAGGATCAGAGCAGGGTTGGCACAACACACAAGCATGCAAAGCATGTGGTCCCCAGAAAATATGTGGTCCCCAGACCCCAACAGAATAGGGGTCTAAAATTTGGCCTTTGGGAGGGATTTTCCCAGAGTTCGTGAAGTTCTGAGAGGCAAAAAATATGAGCTTTCAAGAGCCACTTTATCTCTTCTTTAGCCTCCCAACCACTTCTTCACACGAATCAGGTCAACTCTGAATCTGGGCCCCAATGACTTTAGGAATACACTCCTCAATCAGCCGCATGAATTCTGGGGTGGCCTTCAAGGCTGTAGAAATTGTTCGGGCATCAGCTGAACCAGGAGCTGATTCCTCAGTGTTTATCAAATAAATAACGGCAGATTAGACTCAGATAATACCTCATACAAGAAGCTAAAAGCTGGTAAAATTGCAGCAACTGCAATCACTGGATATTGAACTGAACCCAACCCAACCCAACCCAACCCAACCCAACTCAACCCAATGATGTTGTGGTTTAATGGATTATGCAAATCAAAGAGCAATTCTATTTGAAAAGAAGGTTTCTGGCATCAGGGAATATTGCCACAGTTCATCTCTAGGCTAAAGGAAGCCTCTGCCACTTCACCTGGGTACGGTACTCGGCCCTTGGTCACAAGTTCTGTCAGGAGGATGCCGAAAGACCACACGTCTGACTTGATGGTGAACTTGCCATAGAGAGCGGCTTCTGGAGCTGTCCACTTAATGGGAAATTTGGCACCTGTTGGCAAGGAGGTGGAATTAAGTGGTTAAGATCATACAGAAGGAGATGCCACCTGGGTGAGAAAGGCTCCTACTTTCTCCACGGTGGGAGAAACATCACTAGCGAATTTAAAATGGACTTCTTAGCACAGATCATACCAGCCTCCCCAGCCAGGGGTGGAATTCTACTGGTTTGGACCGGTCCAAGTGAACTGGATGTTAAATTTACATCTGGTTCACCTAACCAATAGTTGAACCGACTGGCTGGCCCCACCCACCCTGCCCCTCCTAGGAGTCTCCATGTGGCCCGTTTTAGATGCAGGTAAGTGTAAGGTCCACGCGGAGCTCTGAGAGGGCGAAAAACGGGCCATTCCGGAAGTTCCGGAAGTCCAGAAACAGGCCTATTTCCGGCTTCCAGAGGCCCTCTGGATCCCGGAGGAGGCCATTTTCACCCTCCCAGAGACCTGAGGGAAGCCTCCGGATGTTGGGGAAGGTGAACAATGGCCAAACCGGAAGTTCTGGTAGGCCACGCCCACCATGGCCACGCCCATTCAGCAACCGGGCAGAGAACCGGTTGCTGGGATATTTGAGTCCCACCCCTATCCTCACCCCTCAAGAAACAGAGTCAGCGAAGAGAAAGTGTTCCTAATTTATGTTGTCAGAAGCCTCAAGCAGCAATCTGGACAATCAAGGAACCAGTCCCTCTGACCAGGAAGGCTTGGAAGGGGAAAGGCTAAGGTGGCAGCGCAAAAACGCCAACCACTGTTTTTGCTTCTGAATGTGAACTTCCTGTACAAACAATTCAGAAAATAATTTTTCTGCCAAGTTAACAGCCCTTGTGAGAGAAAAATCACTAAAAAAAAAATCATCTGTAATTGGAAGCTCTTTGTGGACTTTTTTGTTGTTTTTTTGCAGGAGATGGAGAAAAATCCATTTTTGCCATATGGATTTGATGATTGTTAAAATTTAAAAATAGAGAAAAAAAAATTAATTTCCCCTTTTCTTTTTGGGGGAAAAAATATAAAGTGTCCATTTTTCCCCCAAAAGAAAAGAGGAAATTAATAAATTTTAGAGTCAAAAAGTAATAATTCTCTATATCATTGGAAGAAGTCCGAAGTTATTCTTTTTATATGTATTTCTTGTCCTTTTAAAATACTTTCCCACACTTCTACCCCTACTCTCTTTTTACTCTATCGTTTCTTTGGATTGCTAATTTACATTGTTTTTTTATAGGTATGTTTTATAAAATGGAATAAAATTATTTAAAGCGGGCGGGGGGGGAGGCAAATAACCTCTTGCTTTCTGTTTTTGGTATTAGGATGGAGGAAGCTGTTATTTTGTGAAGATCGCCCAGTTTGCATCTGGACGTGATTTTATATAACAGCCATCTGGACTCTGAGAATCCAGGTTCACGTGGCTGACATTGGGCTCTAGGCTGGAGTTCGGCCAGATCCTTCCAGATGTTAATGACCTTTGTGGTATGGTCCACTTTGGAAGTATTACTGATTTTCCAGTTCTAGATTCACTCCTCCTACTGCAAACTTCAGACTGCACCTAGAATATTTTATCCAATTCTGAGGCACCACACTGCAGGAAGGATCTCGATATGTTTTAACAAGGGCTTCTGAAGGTCATTTGGTTGCCAGGGGGAGCATTGTACAGATGCCGTTGCTCAGTGAAATTGTTTGCTTTTGTAAGAGAAGGACAGGCACAGCCGTGAGGCGGAGTCAAGAGAGTGATCAGCCTAGAATGGTTCTGTTCTCACAGTCTAAGCCGAACCCCTCTCGAGTTCCACTGACTCTTATCTGGTGCAAATTTAATGCTGGCCATTCGTTAACTAGATCCTTGTGTATAGGAGTGAGCCGTGAATAAGATTAACTGGAGCTTAGCAAGTAGTCTTGCTTCTTTGTGCCTGACAGCCTTGCACAAAGAAATCCTCAGCCCCAGTGTGGCACCTCCTGCTAAAACGGCACCAAGAAAAGCTCCCTCTTCCCCAGAGCGGAGACAGCAGCTGCCAATCAATGGTTAATTGCACAAATAGCTTTGCCCGCTTAAAGGTGACTCTTTCTCCTGCTCCAGGGTGCCCCTGAGAGTTTTACCTTGGCGAGCTGTGTATTCATTGTCTTCAATGAGGCGGGCGAGGCCAAAGTCAGCAATTTTGCACACAAGGTTGTCGCCCACAAGGATGTTGGCAGCACGCAGATCCCGGTGGATGTAATTCATTCGCTCAATGTAAGCCATTCCAGCTGCAATCTAGATTGTGTGCAGAAGCAGAAAGGCAGGGATGAGATCACACGGGAGAGTTAATCATTGCCAGCCTCCTCCTGTTCTCAATAGATCCTGGGCAGCTTTCTCTCCCCTCCCCCTCCCCTCCCCTCTCCAACGGAGTCAGAAAACGATGCTCCCTGTTTTCAGACAGACTGGCCACTGAGGCTGCCTCCTCCTGCCCATCGGGTTACCTGTGCGGCCATGTCCACCAGTTGGGGCAACTTCAAGAAACGGCCATCCCCGTCTTTCAAAAAATCTAGCAAGCTACCTGTAGAAGAGAAAAGGTGGGGAGATCAACAGGGCCACTTCTTGGTGGGATCCTTGCACTACTGTTTTAACCTGAAAATAAGACCTATCTTGAAAATAAGCCCTACGGTGTTTTTTGTGTGCACCATGTAAGCCTTATCCCCAAAATAAGCCCTACTACTCAAGCACTTGTGGCCACCTGCCCATTCCATTTGGTTGCTTGTGGTGCTGTGGCCATGAGGTGAGGTGGGAGGGTGAAGTTGCCCCATGCGCCCAAGGCCCCTGCATGTAGGCCATCCATGCCCCAACTCCTGTCTTGCCTTGTGTGGCTGCAACGCAGCAGGAGGCCAAGCGATGCACTGGGGCTACAGCAATGAGGCAGGTGCCGGGGCATCAATGGCCTGGCTGCAGGGGCCCTGACTATGGGACATGTGAGGCAGCTCCACTCCCCCACCTCGCCTTGTGGCTGTGGCACTAACACATCCCTCAGCCTCTGGCTCCATTGTAGCCACAGAAGTAAGCAGATGATGTGGGCCGGAAGACACACAGAGGTCTTGCTGGGTGGGGCTGCTAGACCCACTGCCACAAGGCGAGGCAAATGTCATCTTTGGCCTGGCTGCAGGAGTCCTAAGGTAAGCCAGTGCAGGGTCCATGGGGCAGCTCCATCCCCCAGCTCACAGCAATGGCACTAGCATGCTATGTGGCCTCCTCCCTCACCATGAGCAAACAGAAGAAGTGGGCCTCCCGTATATTCTTAAAGTACATGGTGAAAAAATAAGACATCCCCCTGAAAATAAGCCCCTAGTGTTTATTTTGGAGCCCAAAAGAAAATAAGACCAGGTCTTATTTGGGGGGAAACCTGGATATAATACACTTGCAGCAGTGGTCTATTGGCTGCTTACTCCTGTTCCTGTCTGTTCTTCTTAAAACAAATTATTTGTGAAGGATATGGGATCTGTGCATCTGAGACAAAACAATGGAAATCCATTCCCCAGCTCTCCCAACCTTCTACTCTAAATGCATCAGGACTACAGTTCCCATCAGGCCCTGTTCCAGAAGTTTAGTAACACTGGATGGTGCCAGGTGAAGCTTGCCAAAATGGCTGGTGTGATGAACATGGAGGTCACTAAAACCTGAAATTCAACAGCTGGATCTGCTCTTCAGCGCCCTGAATTTGCCCTTCCTGCCTGGGATGGAGATTTTATCCCTGGGCTACTTTAGGAAGGGGAGGCAGAAGGCAGGAGAGGGCTTAATGGCCCAGTGCCTGCATAAGCATGAAACTGGACCACAAACTATTTTTACGATCCTAAAATTTCCATGGGACCGATGTTGAAAGAAGGATGCTGCGTGTTCCTTTGCAGGATGCCAGGTTCCCATTCAATTTTAACAAAAAGAAATTCATTATTTTAAGGCACCTGATAGAAGATGAAAGGGATACCTGTAAGCAACCTGAGGCTCATAGATACCATGCTACCTATGTTGTATCACCTTCCCTTTCTTGAGACAGGAACATACCAGTCTATCTTGGATAAGGTAACCTCAGAGGAGAAAGTGGTTCACGGCTCTCCCCGTGTTCCTGCTGTCTCCATCACTCATTGATAACACAATATTCCTAACAGGTGCTCTTCCATCCGGGTTAGTGGGTGGGTTCTAGATCTGCTTGATGTCAGCGGACCTACACATGGCCTTCATTCTGAGTCAAACGTCTGAACCCTGGGCATCTTTCTGATCCTAACCCCGCGAGCTCAGGTGTCAGTTTGGTAGCCCTGGGTTCAATTTGGAGGCAATTCAGTCCTTTATCTTGAATCAAGTCTCCCTAAATTGACTCTCATGTGGACGACTCTCTTTGCCAAATATGCCCGAGCCCTTTCAGAGAAGAAGGTGCTCGATTCGGATGATTTGGAGCACACAAATTCAAGCCACTAGGATCAAAATTTCCAAAGTGACTCGAACCTACTCGATGGTTCAATTGAATCAACAGCTCCTACTTCACCCAATCCACAAAGGCCTGCTGGTTGGCCCCTTTGCCACCCAAACATCTAGAGGGGGAAGGGGTGTCACCAGAGGCAGTTTATCTAACCTTGGCTCATGAACTCAGTCACAATGTAAATGGGCTCTTCTGATACCACAGCATACAGTTGCACCAGTTTGTCATGCCGTAAGCGCTTCATGATCTGGGCTTCCTCCAGAAAAGCTTCTGGAGACATGGTTCCAGGTTTCAGCGTCTTGACTGCCACTTTGGTGGTGCCATTCCAAGTGCCTGCAACCAGCAAGGACCCAGGGGTCAGGGTCAACAAAGATAAAGACAGACCCAGTCCCAGACCCCGAGGCCTCCCTCACCCCAAGAAGTCCAGGTTCAGCGTCCTCCAACACAGTGTCCTCCAGATGAATTGGGATGCCAATCCCTAAAACAGAGGTCCCCAAACTTGGCAACTTTAAGACTTGTGGACTTCAACTTGAAGTTGACTTCAACTTGAGTTGAAGTCCACAAGTCTTAAAGTTGCCAAGTTTGGAAGACCTCTGTCCTAGAATATCTAGCCAGCAGGTCTAAGCTGGGTCTTGGAATTCCCACCAATCATCTGAGGAAGCACAGAGTTAGGGACAGCTGACCCGAACAACTGAAATGAGATGAACGACAACAAAAATGAGATGAGGAAGAAAAGATGATGGGACAGGAATGCCTCCACACTAAGGACTTCAATTCAAAAGAAGTCATTTCCCATAGCTGACATTTTCCTGGCTATGTGGTGGCCGAGGGGTGAAGACGCTCGCCTCCCACTTGGAAGGTTGAGAGTTCAATCCAAAGTAGCAGCGGAGATTTCTCTCCTGGAGTGCAAAGCGAAGAAAAAAAAACTGCTGAGAACTCCTCGTGGTGTCAGGAAGGGCATCCAACAGTAAATGCTCAGCTTCATATCCAGTTGTCCTGACTATAAGTAGTCCTTGAGTTATGACCACAACTGAGCCCCAAATTTCTGTTGCTAAGTGAAACACTTGTTAAGTGAGTTTGCTCCATTTTACTACTTTTCTTGCCATAGTTGTTAAGTGAACCATTCCATTAGTTAAGTTATAACACAGTTGTTAAGTGAATCGGGCATCCCCATTGACTTTGCTTGTCAAGAAGGTCGCAAAAGGTGATCCATGAGACTCTGGGATTCTGCAACCGTCATATATGGGCCACTTGCCAAGCATTTTAATTTTGATCACATGGCCATGAAGATGCTACATAGATTCTAACGGTGAAAAACAGTCGTAAGTTACTTTCTTCAGTGCTGTTGTAACTTTGAACAGTCACTAAATGAACGGTTGTAAGTCGAGGACCATCTATATCCTCTGAATTAAAGGATTACAGGCTTGTACAAAGAGAGTTTATGTGCATCCTTCTTAAGGTTCAGTTTCCAGATTGGTCTTCTTCTAGCAGGAGCTACTCTATGGGTTGACTCCTTTTTAACAGATGCAACAATTGTGCAGTTGTACAGACAACCCTCAACTTAACAATTTTTCATTTAGCAACTGTTCGAAGTTGCAATGGTGCTGAAAAAAAAGTGACTCAGGGCCAGTTCTTGCACTGATGACTGTCACACCATCGTGGTCATGTGATCCAAATTAGGGAGCTTGGCAACACGCATATATTTACGATGTTAATAGCAATAGCACTTAGACTTATATGTTGCTTCACAGTGTTTTACGCCCCTCTCTAAGCAGTTTACAGAGTCAGCCTATTGCCCCCAACAATCTGGGTCCTCATTTTACCCACCTCAGAAGGATGGGAGGCTGTGTCAACCTTGAGCCTGGGGAGATTCAAACTGACAAATTGCAGTCAGCCTGCAGTCAGCAGAAGGAGCCTGCAGTACCGCACTCTAACCACTGCACCACCGTGGCTCATTAAAGCATCTTGGAGTGATATAATCGCAATTTGGGACTTTCCCAGATGGCTTCTAACAAGCCAAGTCAATGGGAAAAGCCAGATTTGCTTAACAACTGCAGTTATTCAGTTAACAACCAAGGCAAAAAAGGCCCTAACTCACTTAACAACTGCCTTGCTTAGCAACAGAAATGCTGATCCCATTTGTGGTCATAAGTCCAGGATTACCTGTATGCAGGATACCTCATGTTAACCAACACCAAATAACTCATTCTCTAACTGTGGATCTTAGTAGACCTGAATCCTTATTATTAGGGGAGGAAATGTAAAAGTAGCGGGGGAAATAGAAATGTATGTCATGGAAATTGGCATAGCTGATTGGCTGGTACCTGGACTAGGAAATTCTGCCCTGCAGTATTTCCTATAGGTCTTGCACTTTCAGTCTATGGGAAAGGAATATGTGCCATCTCAGATGGGAGAAAGATACGTTAATTAAGTCCAATGATAGCCACATGCTCTGGAGAAAAGATGTGGTTGCATTAAAGAGTCACAGATGGGGGTTACACTCCTGCAAGCTCTAATGTAGGGGTCCCCAATCCTCGGTCCATAGACCAGCACTGGGCCACAGCTCGCCACAGACCGGGCTGTGCAAACAAGCGAAGCCCCATCCATGGGATGCAGGCAGTACATGAAACCACACCCACTCTGGTGCGTGGAAAAACTTCTCTCCCTGGAAGCGGTCCCTGGTGCCTGAAAGATCGGGGGCTGCTGCTCTAAAGCACCTTCTTGGAACTGAATTCAATGTGCTACACAGCCCTAGTGTGATCCCCTACATGAAACAGAGAGGTAAGATTTATATTCTGATGCAGTGGTGGGATTATTTTTCTTTTACTACCGGTTCTGTGGGCGTGGCTTGGTGGGTGTGGCAGGGGGGAAAAATCTTCATTCCCTCCCCACCCCACTAACCTGCTTTCCAGCTCTGTTCTCCTGTGCAGGGCAACAAAGGAAGACCCAGCCAATCAGGTGGGACTCAGACGGCAGAGAATAGATGGGGGCAGGGCCAGTCAGAGGGGGTATTTGCCAGTTCTCCAAACTACTCAAAATGTCCGCTTACCGGTTCTCCAGAACCAGTCAGAACCTGCCGAATACCACCTCTGCTCCCCACCCCACTAGCCTGCTTTCCAGCTCCGTTCTCCTGTGCAGGGCAACCAAAGAAGACCCAGCCAATCAGCTGGGACTCAATGGGAGGCGGAGAAGAGATGGGGGTGGGGCCAGTCAGAGGTGGGATTGGCCGGTTCTCCGAACTACTCGAAATTTCTGCTACCGGTTCTCCAGAACTGGTCGGAACCTGCTGAATACCACGTTCTGATAGGTCTAATCTAGAGGTTTCCAACCTTAGCAACTTTAAGACCTGTGGACTTCAACTCCCAAAGCTGGCTGAGGAATTCTGGGAGTTGAAGTCCACAAGTCTTAAAGTTGCTAAGGTTAGAGACCTCTGGTCTAAGCAATTATCTTCAAGCATAGCCTGAACCTAAAAAGAGCCCTTCTCCACCTCGTCCAGGTGCGCGCTCTAAAAAATCGAAACCAAACCCTGACCCCCCTCGCCTTACCCATCCACACATCTCCGAAACAGCCCATGCCAAGCTTCTTGTCGAAGTGGATGGACTCCCGCGCGATCTCCCACGCATCTTTAGACAGTCCCATAGTCTGAGGCCTCAGGGTGGGGCAGACTTTGGTTAGGAGGTAGCAGAGACCGTCATTGAATTCTGTAAAGGGGGTGTGGGGTGTGGAATGAGGGAGGGTGGACAGGTGGGATGGAATGAGATGGGAAAGCAGAATGATGAACGGAGCATGCACCCGGGAGAGGAGGCTGGACTTTGGACAGGAGGATGAGAAGGAGCAAGAACACGGGGAGCAATGTTGCTTCCGACCACCAGTTGGCGCCCTTGGCTTACTTTTAAAGCCTCGAGTACCACACCGCATTCCTGCATCTTCAACCGCAAATGTGGAGCAGAGAATTTGGGGCATGCAGCTAAAGTCTCCACTCCTGTATCCTTTTGGATTCAACTGCTGAAGTCAAATGCAGGCTATTTTCCAAATCCTGTTCAGAATATGGACCTAACAGGGTAGCATTAAAGTATTTGAGGCCAAATGCCCTTTGGTCAAGGACCAGTCAACTACGTTAACTGAAGATCCCCAGGCATCGTCTGGATCACTTCCACATTGTCTTCCAAGACTTTTAAGGAGACTTCAGACCAAACCCCTATCGAATTCTGCCTTCCCTTCTTACCAGAGAAGCCATCCAGATGCCACGGGTTGAGGAACCCACAAATAGCAGCACATGGTTATCCTAATGCTCTCCCTTCTGGTAATCAGATACATATGTTCTCTCTCTCCCCGTGCTGGAGCTTAAAATGAGACTCGGGATCCATAAACACTGTCCAGCTCTTTCCATGGTGGATCTATCTTCACTCTCTTTGAAAGGCGGCCAAGTTGGCAAGCATCCTTACCTCTTGTGGCAGCGAGTTCCGTTGCTTAACTACCTATTGTTTGGAGGACTTCCTGTCATTCCTCCAGCCGTTTCCCCCCCCGTCCATCTGCCCAATGATTTTGCCGTCATAGTGAAAGAAACACAGCCATCATGGGAGAAAGACTGAAGGAGGTGGACTTTCTCCATCCTCGCCAACCCTCCTTGCCGGCTCCTTCTCTTCCTCCTCTCTTCCACCCAGCCTCCCGTTGGCTGGTCGTACCCATCCACACTTCCCCAAATTGCCCATTGCCCAGTTTCTTGATGAGCTGCAACGACTCGCGAGGAATCTCCCAGACGTCTTTGGTTTTGACGGACAGGTCTGCCAGTTTGGGCATCCCCTTAGGGCACGGCACGGCTAGGCGGCAACACAATCCTGCAGCTCTCTCTTGCAAAAGAAGCCCCCAAAACCGAAGGGGGAGGGGGCAGAAAAGCAAGAGATGCATCATGGAAGCGGGGAGGCAAAAGAGAGAGAGAAAGAAAGGGTGATAAGATGAGGGCAGACCGGAAAGGAACAAGAGGCAAACACTGTTCCACTCAGTCTGCAGCCCAGAGAGAGCAATCAGTCCTTGCAGAAGGCAGCAGGGGACTGGAGCCTCACTACACACCTGTTGAAAGGTTGATAAAACAGCTGCAGTTAGTAGGTCACTCATTTCCACCACCACCCTTCCCAGTTCTAGGAAAGTCATAGCAAAAGCAATCATCACTTATATACTTATAGCACTTACATACCGTTTCAGAGTGCTCTACAGCCCTCTTCTAAGCGATTTACAGAGTCAGCATATTAACCCCAATATTTCGGGTCCTCATTTTACTGATCTTGGAAGGATGGAAAGCTTAAGCCAGTCAGGATCGAACTCCTGGCAGTGGGCAGAGTTTGCCTGCAATACTGCATTCTAACCACTGCACCGCCATGGCTCAGATAAAATTGTGGAATAGGAAGGACCCTTAAAAGTTATGTAGTGCACCAGAGGGACAGTGCAGGGCTCACCACCGCACCTCGGATAGACAATCTCCAGAAAGATTATTTTGCTTTAAAACATTTTTGTGGGAAATCAGTGATGGAGCCATAATTGAGAGTTGAGGAAAGTTGTGGTTTGCTAACCATTCCAATCAAAGTGGCTAGCAGAGCCACTTTGTGCTAAACCCTCTTTTGGAGAAGGGATCAAAAATCTGTTGCTATTTCATTGCACAACAGAAACTCTGGAAAATGTCTCAATTATCCTCACTTTGGCTAAACACTAAATGCTGACAACTGGTTTTTAGTTGAGCTTGCTACCTTGTCTGGCACCTTTTCATTCCACTTGCCGATAATTATTCCCCATCTTCACTTCCCCTTTGGAAAGGAAAATAGGAGAGAAACCAGAAAACAGGGAGTTTTCAACGCAGTGCCAAAATGGGGAGTTTGACCTTTGCAAGTCTCTGCATGAAAAATTCAGGAGCAGATGTCACAGCTGGTAGCCTTGGATATTTTGGAAGAGACACCCATCAGATACGGCTTTGCCCCTCTTTGTTTTTATTTGAGAGCCATGATTTGTTACAGGTATTCCTTGACATAGGGTGACAATTGGGGCTGGAATTTCCACGTCTACGTGATGCAATCATAAAGTGTGGATGCATTGCTTAGCAACAGCAATTCCTCCAGTCCCGCTTGCTCTTATTAACTGAATTCCCTCGGTGTTAGGCAAGGCAATTTCCTGCTGGCTGCCTGCAATCAAAGTCAGTGGGGAAGCCAGCAGGAAGTTGAAATCCCAGGCCAGCAGGCAGATAAGTGGAGGATGGAGGAAGGGATGTATGAGAATGCAAGGGGGTTGGGGAGTGTGTGTGTGGGTGGAGGGGTGCATGAGTGACTGGCGTATCATAAGCATAGAGAGCTGAAGGAAGTTGTGCAACGGGGAAAGATTTACCCCAGCAATTTGCAATCTTCTCTTATCAGTTTCTCCACTGACTTTCTGGGGAAGCCAGCAGGGAAGGCTGTAAAATGGCAAACATGATTATGAAATGCTTGGCAACCAGTCATGAGTGTGAATTGGTTGCCAAGCATCCAGTGACAACTCATAAAATATTTCTGTGGTCTTTTAGAGTTGCCAACAGAAAGGGAGGGGAGAGCAGTGGTCAGCTTGCATTCCATAAATGTTTTCAAAGGTAGTTTTTAGGTGACCGAAGCTTCTGCCATGCAAAATTCTAACTGGAGAGCACGATTGATGACTCCTGGCTATGGATGTGTCCCATTGGAGAATATGAATTATGATATACCCAGGGGGTGGGGGAAAACCAGGGTCAAAGGTGACAATGAATGATGTGTCTCAGAGTCGGCTACACCCAGGCAGTGCCGGACAAGTTAACTCCCAATAAATCCTTTTGGAGTTTAGCTAAAGACTCATGATTTAAATGGGGTTAAGTGTTGGAATCCTGACATCCAGATCATGATCATGTGACCATGAGGATGCTAGGACAGCCAGAACTCTGAGAACTGTCTGCAACCACCATTCATTCAGCAACCGTTAGAACCTGGAACAGTCATGGATCAAATGGTTGTTAAGGACTACCTGTGTTTGTTTACTAGACGTGAAACCATGGCTAAATCCAGGGTCAAGATTACAACAGAAAAGATGGTTGGAACCTTACCCTTCCCTGAATCCATTTTTAAAAAACATTCACCCCACTGTCTATGGAGATTCTCGGTTATCCAGGTCATGGTTCTCCCAAAGGTGCTTTTTCAGGAGGCAACTGGACTTTCTTGTTTTTTTTCTTTTGAAGACGTTTCGCTTCTCATCCAAGAAGCTTCTTCAGCTCTTACAGGATAGTGGGGAATAGAAGGATTTATACTCCTTGCAGACAGCTGGTCATTTGCATTCTTGCATCTTGCATTCTCACCACTCGCTAAAAGGATGCAAATGACCAGCTGTCTGCAAGGAGTATAAATCCTTCCATTCTCCACCATCCAGTCAGAGCTGAAGAAGCTTCTTGGATGAGAAGTGAAACATCTTCAAAGAAAAACCAGAAAGTCCAGTTGCCTCCTGAAAAAAGCACCTTTGGGATTCATTCTACTGGAATTGGGTCCTGCACAAGGCCTGAATCTTTGGCTAAGCCAAAACAGTCTAGTTGGTTGCAGAACATTCTTAGGCATAAACCCTGAGCCATTATTTAGCATAGGATGTTGTGCAATTTCAGTCTGCTAAATGTATCCCTGAACCACGATAGAGCAGCCCTAACAATCTGGAAGGTATAAAGGGCTCCTGAAAACACGAGTCCTAACGTTTTTTTAAAAATTAAATAACCTTCCACAACCAGCCTCAAAATATCCCAAGGAGAACCCCCAAAATGCAGGAATTGGCACACGATCTTCCATCATTCTCCTGCCAGTCTCTTGCTGTAAAGAGCTACGGAGATATCCTTGGAAAAAATATTCAGAAGTTGTTACAAAAAAGAATTCCTTGAGATTAGGAAGATGCTCAGGCTGACTCTTCCCTGGCTAATTAGAGCTGTGTTTCTCAACTCTGTTGGCCTCAAGATGTGTGCACTTCAACTCCCAGAATTCTCTAGTCAGCAAGATTGAGAAACGCTGCGTTTTAGGGTACAAGGAGGAGGAGAGGAAAAACATAATCAGACTTGCAAGGATCTTTTATTATTGCCTGTGTCGATAAAGCTTAGTTCTATAGTCCTTTTGTGGAGTCTGCCTCCTCATCTGGACAACCTCAAGAGGCTGACATGTTGATCTATCCCATACCAATCTTAACACCTGCCCCGCTCTTGAATCCATCACTCTTTACCTCTGTAATGCTGCACCAGATGTTGCACAGTCTCAAACTGTGTCCGGGTGGTGATGTAATAGCCACCGCTGTCCAGCTTCCGGATCTTGTAATGCTTGATGTGGTCTCCCTTCATCTCATCCCAATCCCGGATAGATAATGAGTAGGCACCTAGGAAAAGAGAAGGGAAGCAGAAACAGGTTGTGTGGAGGCCACCTGACTTTGGCTAATTACGTATTACTGAGCTCCAATTCTCAGGAGCTTCAGCCAGAGAGGCCAACCGCATGGCATGCTGGGGGTTGTAGTTTGACCCCACTGGGATAGTAAACGGTCAACATCTTCCTTACCTCCCCAAATGAGGACCTCAGTTAATAGAATGTAGATGGTGATATAACAAAAGAGACTCTTGGGAGGCACTCGTGTGCCCTTCGGTCTGATATAGGCTTATAATTAGAATAGAATAGAATAACAGAGTTGGAAGGGACCTTGGAGGTCTTCTAGTCCAACCCCCTGCCTAGGCAGGAAACCCTACACCACTTCAGACCAATAGTTATCCAGCATCTTTTTAAAAACTTCTAGTGTTGGAGCATTCACAACTTCTGGAGGCAAGTTGTTATTCCAATTAACCCAAGAAAGTTGTTCCATTTGTCAAGCTGACCTGACCGGAACCATTTTGAAGCTTCAGTGTTGCCACACTGGAGCTGAGGGATAGAGAGTGGGGAATAGAGATAGCTGGGGTTTTGTAGCCAAAACAAAATACTTCCTCCTGGGAATCAAGGACATTCTCATACCTGGTCAGAGGGAGGAGGAATGATGTTACTAAGCAACCAAACGGTACTTTGATTGGACCATGTGCCTGATAGTTTGGGGAAGGGGAAACACTTTTACTTTTAATTAGGTGAAAACCGCGGGAACCTTCAGAGTTGGTTTTCACCAGAATTGTGCCAATATAATAAAACTATTCTTTGAAAAATCTACCTGCCTCAGAGTTTTGCTTGCTATGGGATTATTACTTGGAACTCTGACACCGTTTTTTGTTTAATCTCTTGAAGTGGCGGGATCTCCAGCTAGATGGAGGGAAGTGTTAAGAGGGGCCCAAGCTTATAGTCCTTGCATTGTGCAAAGTGACACAGGTCTGACCTCCCACAGGATCCTCCAAGCCTTACCTAACCTTCCCAAGGGAATGCAGTCAGTCTGGTGAGATTCTTGTAACACAGGTGTCTAATCACAAAGTTTCTGCTTGAGACTATTAACAGGTGGTTTTGGTTCCTTATGCCTGACAATAAAACCCTAACAAGTTTGCAGTCTGACTACCTTAAAGAATATCTCCATCCTTAAAATTCTTCCTTGAAACCTCCACTTAATGTCTGGAGCCCGGACTTAAATTTGCAACTGGTAGCAAGGCAGGGACACATTGAAAATAAAACATTTTTCACAGTGCCTCAGTGTTTGCAAAATGCCCTTCCAATTAAGCTCCAAGTATTTCTCCATACACCATTTATTTAATTAGAGGAAAGGGAGGTCGTATTGTTTTTGTTTACCCTTGCATAAGTGTGCACACCCCAATCCTGATCATGACCGCCTTGCTTAGAGAAGGCTTACAATTTTCCCCAACACCAGAACCCCACAGGAAGTCGCCAAGCCCCGCCCCCCCATCTCCCCCACCAATAGATTTTCCATCTTTCCAAATCTTTCTTTCCACTGGGTGGTCCTGCCTGGAACCACGGTCTCACATATTTCCCCTGAGCCTATAGCAATTGGAATTTCAGCCCTACAACAAAGCAACCCACCAAAGTCTAGGCCAGGGGTCTCCAAACTTAGCAACTCTAAGACTTGTGGACTTCAACTTCTGGGAGTTGAAGTCCACAAGTCTTAAAGTTTCCTAGTTTGGAGACCTCTGGCCTAGGCTGCGTTTTGAATTTCGGAGGTATTTTATAGCAACCCCTTATGCGGTTGGTCTCATCGTTTGTCATACTGGTTTTATATGTTTAGATCAGTGTTTCTCCAGCCCAGCAGCTTCAAGATGGATGGACTTTAACTCCCAGAATTTCCCAGCCAGCACAGACAGAGCTAAGTGTGAGAACTCCACCTTTCATCTATATGTTCTGACCCAGCTCCCCAAACACGACAAACCCTCTGAAGTTAACTCAAAGATTCCTTTATTAGGAGCAAAAAGTTTCTCTCTCACCGCAGGCTAACAAGTCCGTCCAGCAGGGAGATGAATAGTTGTCTGCCACATCTATTCATCTCCTCCCGCTGCCTTTTATCCCCAGAGCTAGGATAAGGCTTTGCTAGCAGTGGTGGCTCTTCCATCCCAAGGACTGGCCCATAGATTTCCACTGCTCTCCACTCCTCTGCCTTCTGCACATCTGCGCATCAGGCACTGGACCCAGCTTTCCCCCCTCTTCCTCATCAGCCACCTCCAGACCTGGGGCTGTTGACTCTCCATCTGAGGGCTGATGGACGGCCCAGGCTCCGCCCCTGTCTCTATCTCTGACAGCGTCATTCCCTCTTCCCCCTTAGCGCTCTCAGGGTCAGCACCAGGGCCTTGATCCTGACCTTGACTCCCACGCCTCCTCATCTGATACGGTTGCTGCAGGGGCCGGGTGGGGCCAACAGGCCACAACACTATATTACTGACCTTCTCATCTTCTTTGATGTTTCTAAAGCAACTTTTTAAAATTATTGAATCTAGGGAGACCAGGCAGGGAAAAAAAAAGCAAGAGAATACTTTTTCTTCAGGCACTAGATGGGACTCTTGCAGAGGAGAAGGCAGCAGCCTAAGCCAGGAAGGCAAAAATCTGGCAGCACCGCAAACAGTTCTGTCCCCTGATGGCTTTTGCCACAAGACAAGGAAAATAGGGTGACACCTCAGTGGTACCTTTGGTGGTTTCGCTCTCGCGAATGAGAAAGGTCCCCCGGGGGTTGCCATGGCACAGCAGCTGCCTCTCAGCATCCTTCCGGCCGATCTTCCCAAAGTACCACCTGGGAAGAAAGAAGGGAGATTCTGGATCAGTGTTTCTCAACTTTTAAGACACCTGGACCAACTCCCAGAATTCCCCAGTACATCGGCATGCAGTATATCTGTGAGATTTCACTTAAACGCCCCTCCAATCTGCTTCCTTCTCCCTGTACTTACTCTTCCGCTTGGATCGAGTCCACAGGAGCCACGTAATTGCTGGGGATGTAGCCGGTGGTTCCCGTGGTCAGGGAGCGTGCCTCCCACCAGTCACCCTCTCTGTAGCAAAAAAGAGGGGGGAGGGAAACGCAACATCAGTAACCCCCTGCTTGGAATTTCAACAGCAAAAGGGCACAAAATCCAGGCAGCATCTCACTCCAAAGGAACGGAAAGCACCTGTTGAAGAACTAATCAAGCTTTTGCTGCACTATTGGTCAGTCAAGAGTGGACCAGTGGTGAGATTCAAACATTTTTACTACCGGTTCTGTGGGCGTGGCTTGGTGGGTGTGGCAGGGGAAGGATATTGCAAAAATCCTCATTCCCTCCCCACCCCACTAACCTACTTTCCAGCTCCGTTCTCCTGTGCAGGGCAACAAAAGAAGACCCAGCCAATCAGCTGGGACTCAGGGGGTGGGGAATAGATGGGGGCGGGGCCAGTCAGAGATGGGATTTGCTGATTCTCCAAATGAATCAAAATTTCCACTACCGGTTCTCCAGAACTGGTGAATACTAACTCTGGAGTGGACCCGTATTGGGATAATGGGCCAAAACCCCTTGGGGTCTCTGCCTTCTTTTCACACCTGCAGGGCAGCCTGAATCAATAGTGAAATCTGTGCAAGCTACAGGAGCAGAGATTTCCCTGCAACTCACATGCTGTTGCTTGCGTTGCACATGGACCTACCCGTA